AATCAAACTTCAATTTCATTTCAAATATTTGTCAAGTCTCTGGCATTATCGTATGTTCTCATGAGATTTTTCATATGAGAATCTACCAGTTCATGGTCAGCTTTAGACTTCTCATACATAAGTTAAAGTTGGTTGAATACCCATAGTTTATTGATTGAATTTTCGTTTTTGACATGGCAAGTTGTACAACATTTTATTATTGCCTTGGATAAGTGCTTTATTGCCTTGGATGCTAAATAATCTTTTGTACTGGTAATTTCTTAAAAATGATTGTCAGTGAGGTTGCTTAGGTAAAATGAGACAGAGAAGCTAATTGGTTGCAGTGCAAATCTGCTGCAGATTTAGTCTGGTCCAGTTTTGATAAACTCCCCCCACTGTCTCTACATTGTGTACTATTTCACCTGTACTTGATTTCACTTTTTTTTCTAACTTTCTACAAAAATACAATTAAACTACTGATTAAAAAAAGATCGTCTATAGAGAATGATTTTCTATTAGGTTGGAACATTATTTTGACCAATGTTTTCCATTTTAATAAATCAACAGTGATGAATTTTAATGTAATTGTATAAACTTTTTGAATAAAAATTAACCATTTTAACTTTAATTTAAAATTATGGCATTTCTACTTCTATTGAAGCCTCCTCTGCACCCAGACCATTCTCCCAGTCCTCTACACATCCCTCTCTGATCCAAGTGAGATATCACTCTTCAATTACTTTGAAGCAGGGCATCAAGGAAAGTTGGTGAAGTGGGTGGAAGATCACTGATCATATTCATGTGTGATGTGATAAAACAATACCCCAAAATGAGTAAAAAATGGGAAAAACTATTTTGGACAATATTTTTGTTGACTTTTTGTTTTCCAGTTGTTTTTAGAAATAAACAGAAAAAACAACAACTTTTTAAAAAATCACAATTCAAATAATAGTATAGTATTCCAAATAAGACCAAAAAAAGAATAAACAAAGCCTATAAGTGAAAACACACTCGTAACATAAGCAATAGATATCCAGGCACTCTTCAAATTTCCTTAAAAGTCTTAAAAACAACCTTGACCACCTCACCCCCACCCCATTTTTGCCATCCCCACTGACTCGAATGCATTCTGCAAAATACACAATTTGTGGGAATTTTGTTGAAGCAAACATTTCGCTCTTGCATATATTTAACATGTATATAATGCAATGTGATAGAATAAATGTGTCAATCAAACGTTTTTTGAATACTTAATTCTGGTGTGCTGGTGACGTACCTTATCTGTTTAGACTTGAGCAGCACCACCTGCAGCCACTTTAGCACCCATCTTGAAAGGGCAGACCAGTAAAGAGTGTGGCGGGATATCCATTGAACTTGTAGATTCATGTAATGGTCGGTAACACCATGTATGAATTTGTTGCAGAATTGCCTTAGACAGAATGTTGCTTTAATCTATATACTAACACAAGCTATCGTACTCTGTTTACCTTCGTATGTACCTTGTATTGTACCACATCGCACGGTAACCATGTTACCATGCAATGTGGTGTGATGCGCTTTTTTTAAAAATGGCGCTTGCACCTCTTTCAGTGCGATTTAGCTGCGTTAGGCAGCCCATTCAAATCAATGGGCTGTCCTACTGCTATGTACTACAACACACCCTACAGAATGCAAGTCAACACCTATAAACTACATTAATTTCATTAATGTTTAATTTAATGTGTACATATACAGTATATTATACAGTGCTGACAATTTACGCAACACTTTACATACTGCACATTCACATTAGCCCCTGCTATCTAGAAGCTTACAATCTATGGTCCCTATCTCACATGTATGCATACAGGGCTGATCTGGACAGCCAATTAATCTTCCAACATATCTTTGGAGTGTGGGAGGAAACCCATTCAAGCACAGGGAGAACATACAAACTCCATGCAGAAAGTGTCTTGGCTGGGATTTGAGTTGGGGGTCTCCAACGCTGTAAGGCACAACTGCAAACAACTTAAGCCGCTGTGCATATTCTCTCTTTATCTCTAACAATTTTGCTACTTTGTATTAAAGTGACAGTTCTATTTATATCAAATGCATGAATTCTTCACATACCCTTCCTCAATTACAGTAGGTAATTAACTGGAAGTACCAGCCATTTATTTTGTATTATAGACATCTTGCTGATCTCCTCTAGAGTTGGATATTACAATGTTACGAAATTCCACATATTCCGTCATCTGCAGACTGTTTTATCAAGACCTTACACCTTTCATCATTTCTTAGAACACCCTCTCAGACTTTTCCAATGCTTCACTTATGTACTGGGAACTCTGTATCTCATGTTATCACTGAACTCTTCACATTCTAAGCCCTTCCTGGAACCTCACACTTACCTCACTTGATAGACTATCTCTTCAATACATGACTACTGCATATTTATGAACTATACCACCGGTCTTTAACTTTCCATTGGATGCACCTATAGATGCAAAATTACTGCAACCTGTTGCCTCCTTTTCTCTGACATTGGAAGTGATCACTGTGTCTAAAGACATCTGTATTATAGGTGTAGTTATAGGGTTTGAAGTGTATTTCCCCTTTTGTAGCAAAATTGATATACACCTATTTTATACTCGAAACGTGTTCTCATTTACATATCATACCTTAAAATGAACTGCTTTTTACATGAGACGTTCTGAGGAAGGGGGCGTGACCACGGAAACGCGTCAATGCCGCCACACTACATTGGCACACAGGCAGATTGCAGTCTTGAAACTGCTGTTTCTTTTACATCATCCATACGAGCTGTTTTATGACCTACCATTGTGAGTACCATCGCATTTTATCTTTGTGTCTTTTAAAATAAAAAATAATCTGCACTAGGTTGGGCGCCCTTCTGTTCTTTTTGTATTCCAGTTTTACAGCTCCCCCCGGCTGAAGTGGGGCAGCACCCCTAGTAATTTTATATATTTAATCACTCAATCATCAGGAGCCGTGCACAGCGCTTTGACTTTACTACATTTGCCAAATTGAGATACACCTATTTTATACTCGAAACGTGTTCTCATTTACATATCATACCTTAAAATGAACTGCTTTTTACATGTGACTTTTTCTGAAAGAAAAAAGGTTTTCCTCTAAACTGATTTTTCCTCTGGAATGCAAGGGCTTGGGGTGGTTACCATAGTTAACCCTGTCTGCACTGCTGGCAAATCTCATCAGTTGTAGACTCGATTTGTCCATTTTATGTCCTAACAAAAGGTTGAGAAAGATCTAAAAGCATTGTATGTTATTGAGAGGAAGCTCAGTCTGTCCCTAGTCCTCATACGGGGACAGCCAGAGTTTCCTATCAATTTGAAATTGTGCAGAGAAGGCCGACTACACAGATACATATAAAAAGTAAGAATTTTGTTTTTTTATTATTATTTATAGGTATGTTGTGTGAATAGGAACACATAACAAACATATAGAGGGGTTTTCTCAAATGTGTCTGCAAAAGTAGAAAAACAATTAAAGAGGAAGTTATTCTCTTATGACTTTTCCTGGGTGATTGCTTTTGTTGCCAGTAACAAGGCTGATACCGGTATTTTTTGCTGTGTAATTAGATACGTACATTACACACATACATGTCTGTGCACCTGTCTAAGAGTCTTTCAGTTGGATTGTTATTATCTAGCATTTCACACTGGTGCTCATGTTTAGTTTGCCTGGTCATTTGGTTGAGGTGTATAGTTATCATTATGTCTTCATTCACTTTATGGATATGTCATTGTATCATTTCCATAATTATCATTGGGAATGTTTGCATTCGTCTTATTATAGAGGGAATAATTTTGTTGTTGTTTTTTTGATTTAGGTAACATGTATGATGTCCTTACTTTACAGTAGAAATTTGGCTTCCCATTTTAAAAAAATGTGTTGCAGCACTTAATTGCACATACATCTGCACTTACACATTTCTCTTAGTTCCCCAGCAAAGCCTCACAAATACCAGTTGATTCTGCCAGTGAAGTCCTTTATACAGCTTCCTGTGATGGAGTGATAATACTGCTGCAGTCATACTGAGTTTGAGACAGCGCTGTTGCCTTCATGTAGGTTGTGCCTGCCTGCTGTCAGCTGTAGCTGTCAACTTTGTCTTTGCGGATTTACTAAAAGGTTACATTGATGTGCTTAGCTGTACACCTAACACATTAACACAACAATAATGTGGGTTAATAAGGAGCATAACTGTACATACATAGGTGTGAAGAGAACCTTATAAGGGCCAAGAATGAAAATCTAAGCATTTCTGCCTAAATCTATAAGCAACGACAGCAAAAATATGGAAACTCAGGAAAATACCACAATAGTGAACAAAGATTTGCCTTAGATCACCAGATAGCACACCTTTTAAGACCCACTGTTTAGCTTTCTGACCATCTACCCTTAGGCCTAATCCCCTCACCCTAGCTTGTGTTCCTGTGCTTGTTTTCAGTCACTTAATGGTCTGATGGTGTGTCTTGCATTGGAGTAGATACAGGAATATGATTAGGTAGCCTTAATATAGTGATTTTGTGATAAAGCTAGACCAGGTCCATCCAGACAGGTTTTTAGCCCTGTCCTCTAGAGGAATTCTGGTTTTACTTCTCTAATGGCAACCTTGCTAAAATATAGGCAGCTAAAGTTATATACTATTCTCCACTTTTCAAGTAAAACATTATTTTGACAATGCCACCCCCAAAGCCTTCTCATCTGTCATTGGGGCCAGTCTTTACTTTAAAGAACAAGTGGGGAGAATCATCAAGTGGGTCTGGGTCAAGTCCAACCTTTATGGGACGAGTCAAGATATATAACGTGACAACAATATGAATCATTTTGACATGACATTTCTTCATGTGTTCAGCTTGAATTGCTCAGGTTTGTGACTGGTTTACAATATAAAAAACTGCTGAATCATTCAGAGATTAATATGCTGTTATTGCTGTGACTGCTATAGTTGTGTGCATTAATCCTGCTTCTTTGACACCATTGTTTTCTTCCCACAGGACCCATCACAAAATCTTGCCTTCATCATCACAGTATTCGTGGCCCTGGTGATATTCTGTGCTCTGTATGTGTTGGTATACACAGAATCATTTGTGCAAAAATGGCTGCGGGTGTTTTCCCTGGTTATCTGTGCCTGCCTGCTTGCTATTGGATATGTTTTAATTTATGATAAGCCAGACAATGTCCAGACATGGGATCAGGTAATTTTTTGTTGTATTGTGTTTTTATCGATCTTGCTGCTTAATGATTGTTTCAAGTGTCATTTTAAGCCATTCTTTTCAGAGAAGCAAAAGTAATGACATGTATTGACTATACACCGATAGTAGGGTTTTTCGGTATCGAGTATGAGTACCGATATTTCTTTTTCCGGTACTTGCCGGTCATGATGTGCTGTCCTGCTTCCTGAATGGCTATGAAGCTGGCTTCCTAACCAATCAGGAAGCCAGGAGGTGGGTCATGACGTGCTTCCCGGCTTCCTGATTGGACAGGAAGTCAGGCTGCCTAGAAAAATATGAAGCCGGCTTCCTAGCCAATCAGGGAGCTGTTCATTATGTGCTGGCAAGGAAGCCAGGCTGCCTAGCAACAAGTGAAGCCGGCTTCCTGATTGGCCAGGAAGGCGGCTCCATGCTCCCTCATGGTACTGCCGGTCAGAAGGAATCTTCCTCTGAAAGGACGTTCCAGTATCAGGGTAAGTATCGGAGCATATTTGGCGAGTAAGAGTACTTGTCGAAATACTCGGTAACGTGCATCCCTAACTGATGGATTTCTGTATGAACATTCTTTTGAAAGAGTTTCTCAGAACATTCAATAATGCCATTAGACCTTTTGTAGAAAGTTCAAAATCGCACTTGATTTTAAAATTGGATTATTGAAAGAATGGAGTTTCTTGAAGAAAAAACACATTCACTGTTAGAACTTTGTTCATTTAAGAAAACGTTTCCATCCTGCTCCTTCATTTTTTTTTCTTTCACTACAGTTAAAATCAATTTTCAGTTTTACCCCATTAACTATTATAGGATTAAATGCAATTCTACTGGTGTATGGCCAGTTTAACAGGATGGAATTAGAAGAGAAAGTTAATATGAACATGTGTGAAAGTAAAATCTTTCAATAAATCAAATTCTACAAAAAAGGCAGGCACCAGTCTAATTATAAATCAGGAGATTGTTTTAAAATGCAGACAAGCAACTGATATTTAACCTAGTTTCTTTGGAATGGAAGAGCAACTGTACAGCTGTCCATAAAGCAGTACCCTCAGAACCTGTGTACATGGGTCCAAGTCTCCAGTAAATGATGCCACGTGGCAGCACAAACTTGTGAGAACTGGGCAGGCAAAGCTCACATTTCATAAGAAGAGCTGAGTTTTTTTTAGACATACTGAGCTATGCATTGCTGAGGCTGAGTGGATATGAGTACGAAAAAAAATAAGTTTTTAAGATATTTACATAATAAAAAGGTGATACTTAAGGAAACATGTGCGCTGCAATTACTAACTTCTCCTTCAGAAAAATACTGGTTCTATTGGCATCATGCAGTTTCTATAGCATTGGTACTTTCTAAGTCTCTACCGGGAACAAGTTTGCAGATTTGTATTTCTGGCTTTCCTGATATTCATGTTTATTCCAGGTCAGTTTCTGAAAGTATTAAAGCTCAACTCCTGCTTTAGAAATTTATATATACTTACACTGGTACAGTTTTGCATTATGTAAATATACTACTACAGCCTATAGCAGCATCTTCCAGGTATAGGAACAGCTGCTAGTCTGAACAATTTCCTCTGTGTTGATAAAGTGCAACATGTTGCTGGCTTGCTCGGCACAGTGGCCATTCAGAGGATTCCATGTATTCATTGAAAAAATACTAGCCATCCTCTAAGTGGTCATTTTGGTGCAAAAATTCGGTAAAATTATAGGTGTAATTTTCTAATAGTTCATTTGGGCTTAAGTTGATATAGATAACTTTCCATACTCCCAAGCTGGCGAGGACCAATTACACCTACACCATACTTCTGTATTGACAAGATATTAAAAATGTACAAAAAAGTGTTGCTGTAAATCATATTCAGTCAATTTTCTAGTTGCTAAAGTGAAAGAAAAGTTAGATTGCTGCCTGTCTATATAGTGCCACATTTGTTTTACTCATCGTCAGCAGTATTTCTTAAGCCATTTGTGAAACAGGTGTTGTCATTCAGGAGGGAGATGAGTTGCTGAGGTATCTGTATGACCATAAAGGTGAAGCAGCTGTACTCGTATACACAAAGGGTTCCAATGTGTAAGAAGGGAAAACATGAGTGGTTTTTAATTACAGGTACATGGGGCAGTACTTCCTGTAATCTGTGTCATCTTAACTGTAAACTGGTTCAAATGGGAAATAGGAGACACAATATTTAATTACTAGTGTTCATTCTATATTTGGTGTTATGGGAATTTTTCTATTGTTAGAAATGAATACTGGTGTAATTAAGTGAACACTCTTCTCTACCTAAAATATAATGCTATGGGCTTACCTGCACTTGAGATTTTTTATTATTATTTAGTAAGGTGAGGTTAACCTCTTCTAGACAGCTTGAGTTGTAACCACATGCGTATATGCATATTGTAAATGTAACATTTGTCAGTAAAGCGTTCATATCCATCAATTATATTGATAATAAAAACCTTATGTGTAGTTGATCCCCCACCCCTTTCCACCTCAATTTGAATTCTGTGTTTTTCAGGTCTTAAAAATACTGTTTCTTTAGCAATAATAAACCCTCGAAACACCTTTTAACTGAAATTTGTATGTATTCTTTATAGCACAGCATACCCCAGATATCACTGATACCCCTAAGATCCAGCCCATCTATTAGGAGTGGCAAGGGTATTACAGGAAGGCCTAGAATGCTGGTGGTAATAGGGGATACTATAATCAGGAGGACTGATTTAATAATTTGTTGCCTGGGTCACCTCAATAGAATGATTTCCTGTCTCCCTGGTGCCAGGGTTTGGCATGTGGTAGACCAGGTAGACAACTTACCGGGAAGGGCTTGGCATGACCCAACTATATTATTCCATGTTGGGACCAATGTTGGAATACAGCTCTATTTGTACTACAGTATTTTCCTTTTTAAACTAGTGTTGTAAAGATAATTAGGTACCACATCCCAATATCAAGGTTAATAAAAAACATTTTTTGTTGGACTTTAAGGTACCTTGAGAAGTAGGCTTGTACGGTGTAATAATAATAAAACCACAAAATCATTATTTACATGTCTTAAAATGACAAATGTATCACAAATTCACTTAATGTACAAACATTAAAAATCTTGCAACATACATTGTGTAGCCCCATCTTCTTACGATTTCCTTCTCATTTTTTTTTCTTTCTATGATTAACAAAAACCTGTACAGATGTTTCTTGGATATGTTAACTTACATTTCACTCAACAAGAATTTCAGGCCCATTGTGATATAAATGGGTGTGAATGGGACCAGTTCACACCACTCTGTTCCATTTCGTTACGTTGCGCTGAAAGAAAAAAGTAGAACATGCACTACTTTTTCAGCGCAATGTAATGCAATCGATCTGGTGTGAACTAGCCCCATTCACACCCATTCGTCTTTCAGTGCCCTGCCATTAGCATCCATTGAAAAACGTATCGCAAGGAAATTGGAAGGTATAATTCCAAATCAATGGACCCTCTGTTGACTTGCGATTTCCTTTCCGATTTTGGTGTGAATGCACCCTAAATTAGATGTTTCTTGCTTTCTTAATGCGTTATGGAGTAATCCGCTTCCTCAGGAGAGGGTTACAATATTCTAAAACAGATCATTTTCATTCATTCATATGCAACTCTATATATTCACTTCAAAATTACATTATTATTTACATACAGGTTTTATACCTTACAATATAATACTCTCAAAAAGTGATTACCAGTATTACCATTGGATCTTCCCAGAATAATTGAATGCATGCTTTATGCTGTGATTCTCAGGAGACTTCTGTGAATATGCAACGTGCCTTGTTCAGTGCACTTGAGTAGATATACACCTGGATTGTCCTAACTGATCTACATTGTCATTTCTGAATGTCTGATTAGGAACGTACTCACACCCAGTGGAAGAATTTCTAGCACTAATATTATATTGTAACTCTCTAGGAAAATTGTATCCAATATGAACTTGATACGGTACATGTAGGAGAGTTCATATACTGAGATCTTATTTACCACAAAGCTATACTGTATATAAAATATGCTGGCTTTATATTTATAAAGCACTGATAAAGCTGGATACTTAATTGCCATAGGAAGATCTAATTGTGCAATAACATTCACAGGATAATGTATTGCCATCTATTTTCATAAAATAAAGGTGGAGTTATACAAGCACGTCTGTAAGGCCCCTTGCACACGGGCAGTCCAATAGGGTCCGTCTGTAAGTTTTTCAGGCAGACCCGATTGGATGCCCAGTGTAAGTCTTTGGGCATCTGTGTGTAAACAGATGGGTAAACAGTTAAAAACTACTTTTTAACATTTAAAAAATAGTCTACACAAAGCTTAAAGGAGAACTATGAGGTGAGTAAAAATCATACTTCCAGCCGATGTGTGATTGATTTACTTGATTGATTTACTATTTACAACTTCTTTTGATGAATGAAGTTCTCTAACTTACCTATGCAAAAGTGAAGCTGGAACAGTTCTCATTTAATCAACGGACAGTTGAACAACTGGATACATTAGTCCTGAAATGTTGGGCAGCAATCCGAGGCAATTGTTTAGTCTCGGACAAAATCCACACTGGACATTGTTGCTTGCCAAAATCATTACTTCCTACAGACTGTAAAATTATTTAATAGTCACCAGAATAACAAATAGCTGTTAATGTTCGCTGTCCCTTAGGAATGCTGGACAATTATTTTGGGAAGTGTATGGGTATTATTGTACTGTTATAGTGTTGTCTACTTGGAATCTGTCCAGTCTCTTAAGTGCGCAAAATGTTAGTCTGAAATTAAAGTCTAAAATGTAGCTGCAGTTGACTGCCTGTGCTAAAGTAAAACTCTGACCAAATGGTTATATAAAATATATTGCCAGTAAAGTGTCAAAATGTTCACAATGTTTGCAGTCGCACATCATTACAACATATTGACAAGAAGCTGACATCGTTATTCAGAGCATGAAGCTCTTGAGTGTAAAGGGGTCACTTCCCCACCACTGACC